TCTGGGCTAGGAAGGGAACGCACTGACCTGATTTGAGTCTCTTTTATGCCTTGCCTGTCTTCACTATCCAGATTCAATAGTTATCTTTGCCGGTTTAAATTACACGGGATTCGCCTTGCGTGTAATTTCTTCTCATATCCGACTTCGAAGGACCATATGTTTTGCACACGTTTGTGCTTTAGTGCGCTGAGGATTACTGCTTGCCTTTTTATTTCGCTTTTTATAGATGATTGATTGGATGATTTCTGATTTATTAATTTCTATTTATTGATTATTATTAGATTGACAACTTCACTTTTTCATTGTTACACACCAAAAAAACCAGCACAAAACTAATGATAGGACGCCGAACTGACACGTTTATAAATGTTCTATCCGCGCCAACAAGAGCCTTAACATACTCTTCATCTTTTAAACATTTCCTTAGCGATCGTTAAGATCTTGTTGGTGTCCTTCAAGATACCGTGTATCTTCTTGCGTTCTGTGTAGGCTTATCACCTTATCCGCTTATAAGCCTTGTTCTATGCTTATCACTACGGGATTGTGGTCGCTGTTGACGTCGGTACCAGGGTATGTCACACTGTCCATAGGGTTAGCTGCCGTCCTTTTCTGCGCGCAGTCTCCGTAGATGTATTCTACGTACGTGTCCTGCACGAGCCGTTCATCGCAGTAGATCTTATTTTGTTCCGAAATGACTCGCATGCGCATAAACGCAGTACAACGGCGGGAAATGTAAATTTGGGAGAGTTGTTTTGAGGTAAGTTTCACCGCTGACTTTCAAATTAACACTTAAATTTAAAAGAAGATACTTTTTTTCTGTACAAATCTACAAATAAGTGTGATCATTATTGGCTGATGTACTAATATTTAGCACTGTCGCATTTTGACTTAACGATAACTTTATAATTTTTGCCTCGTTAGGCAAAAGCCGACAATTTTCAAGTTTCTGCTTCTCTTTATTTCGCTTACCATAAAATCTGACTTGTGTCTCGATTTTTTTTATTAATATTAACTTTAGTGCTCTCAAATTCAATCCTGTGACTACTGTGATTAATGAACAATTCAATAGATTTGTAAGTGTTTTTTTTTTAATTTGGGCACGAACATCGTTAGACACGTTTGAACTATTATTTAAAATAAGGCAAAGTTCTAAAGCAGACTTTAGTTAATTTTTTAATATGATTTCAGGCGGGAAGGATGTAATGTTCTCCGATCAAACTAAATTATCGGAAACGGCGTTTGCAGGGTTTTCCATGAAATTTGATGTTTTGTCAACATCATAAAAATATATACAACATGCATGTATATGTTTGCAAATGTTGAAGTTAATTACGTTATCGGCACAACTGCATCTAAAAGAATGCACGCAAATTTGACATTTTTCACAATTCAATTGACAGTTATTCTCACAAGCTGCATTACGTAACTTTTTGATATCATAAACATGCGTGTTATCCGAGCATGTTACAGAAAAAGTATCCATATCAATTCTCACAATATTTTTTTCTGGAAATATCGCAGCACTCCTATGACTGCTTAATTTTTTTTAACTTAACGCTACATTTACCTTTTTCAATATAGATTATCCGGTCGAACATTTTATCTCTTACTAAATTTATTAAACTATTAATAGTTTTATCAAGTCGCTTGCATCTTTTTCCTTCCAGGTAAAAAGTTTTATAACTTTATGCAAGGATTCTAAATACATATTGGTGTTAATACCAGTGTATTTTCTGAAACAATACGCCTATAACTGGGTACGATTTACATAAAACCTTTGGAAATATTCCCCAAATGCCAACGTATCGTTATCATTTAACAAATCTTGCCAAAATGTATTTAGTTGTTGTTTAAAAATGTCTTTATCTAGTTCAGTTTGAATTAATTTTAAAGATTTTAAAACCATTCTTTTTTCTTGATTAGAAATCTTATTTAAATTTTGTACCCAGTTTCGGTTCACATGCCAAGTACACAGTAATCTCTTGTCAACTCTTCTCTCTCATTACTGACTCCCAAGCGAAATTAAAGGCAGGGTAGTCATCACACATAAAAACTTTCGTTGTTATCACACCAAGAGATTTTTGTATGATTTCAAACATAAACTTAAATATTGCTATGTCCTGCCTGTTTGAAAAGCAAAAAGCAACCGGCATGCCGCTGCCATAATCGTTCACTACTAAAATAGTGTATAGTTGAAATCCATAGGCATTTAACCCATGGGTTCTTACGGTATAGTGCGCGCCAAGAGATGCAAGGCTGGGGGAAGCCCAGCCAATAGCGACTAACCTTGAGGCAACAGGCGTACCTCATTGTATCAGTCTTACCCACACATGCGGGGCTCTGTGTGGGTGAACCAACCTTCCCTAGCTGCTCGTGGGAATGATATGGAAATCAACATAACATCACCACCAAATACCGGCGGGGGTTCCTCGGAAGAACCATCGGGCTCCGCAGCTGGCAAACGACCGAACGGTAAAAAACTCTCGGGAGCCGCCAGACGGAAGAAAAAAATGGTTAGGGACAAAGGAAAGTTTGGACCAACCAAAACTGTGCCAGATACACCCTCGGGG